TTCAGCTGTGACCAAGCTTCTGGATACAAAAGCGATTGGCCGCTCTTCTCCCAATGCTTCCCGCTGGGCTAGAACTGCGCCAAGACCATATGGCGATGCATCAGTTACAAGCACTGCAGTTTTCTTCGAGTCAAAGTGCGCTAATGTCTTCACAGATGCCAAGAGCTGCTTACTTTTGCGGAAGGCCTCCTCCTGAAGTGGTGTCGAGGTCCATGGTGTACCTAGTACCTATAGACCATTCAATGAATTGAGTACCGCTGACAAGCAAGTGATGAACTTCCGGTAGAAGTTCATCAGCCCCATAAAGCTTTGCAGAGTTTTCACGTCTCGTGGCCTTGGTGCCGAGAGGATGGCTTCCACGTTCCTGGAGCTGGGATGCAAGCCTTCAGCGGTGATGACGTGTCCTAAGTACTCCACGCGGTCTTTCATAAGTTCGCATTTTGCTAGCTTCAGGCGTAAGCCGGCATTGTTGATTCCGCAGACAATCTGGTCCCGCATTATTTGCTTGCGCACTGCGCCAAAGTTTCAATCGTCTACTAGCTTGTTAAGTGCAGCTATGTAGTCACTGACGGCCTCGCCTTCATGCCTTTTTCTAGAAAAAAAACTTGAAACTTGCGACCACTTCGGAAACTTTGGGCTTGAAGTGTGCGCCAAGGGCCGTGAAGATAGCTGCAAGTGTCGCATCACTCGGTTTTGTAGGCGACAGCAGATTCTGTAGCAACAAAAAGTTGCTGTTCGGCAGCTTGTCAGGAATACCGCCTTCTTTTTTTCCTCAGCCACATCGTTCGCCGCGAAGCAAAGCAAAACACGCTCGTGATATTCGAGCCACTCACTTGTGCTTGCGTCGAATGCTTTCAGTCTGCCCATGAATGACATTCTTGTTGATTCCAGGTGTGGGTGTTTTCTGCCACGCCACGCTTGCAGATTTTATCTCTCGTCGCCAGTTGTCATGTTCTCCCGAGGCAGCACACAGGCGAGGCTCAGTTCAAATGCCGACTGACCTATGCAGTCAGCAGCACGTTTATTTCAATGATTAAAGGAGCAATAAAAGGCGCCATCCTGCGGCGCTATGTGAATTGCTTAGGCTGATGACAGCAACATAACAGATAGCATGACCACTCATGAGTGCTGATCTTAGTTTGCAGCACCTTGCGGCATTGTTACTAAGGTGATGCGAACCCCTGTGATGTTGAATGAGCAAAGCAGCAGTTGTTGACATCACAGAAGATTGGCAGACCCCACACAATATCACAATTGATGGTCTAGTCAATGCTTAACAGGCTTAACTCATACTGAAGCACCCACATAATTTCATTCTATGCAAAGGACCCCCGATTCAAAAACTGCGCTTCTTAGGTGCGCCCCTGTAGGAGGGTAGTTTCTCATAATTTCAGGTGAATGTTTGGGAGCCACAACAATGTTGCTCATATTTAACCATGTCGGCATTAATTGTATAATATAGTAAACATTTATGATTGCTTGAAAGCGAGTGAATGCAAGCCAGCTGGTAAAAACAGTTAAAAACACAGTTAAAAACAGCAAGAGGTAAACACGGACGGAATGCGCATTTTAGTCCTGTGCGCGTCTTGACGGTGCCTATTTCGTGGTGTTCAGCTATGAATTTACAATTCAATCTTGGAATAATAATACACAAAGCTGCAAATCCAAACCCAACACAGTCTTCAAGTTGGGTTGTGGCTTAGGATGCATTAATGAAGAGAGTGATAGTACTTTCACATTAATTCGTTTCAGTTTGTGTCACAATAGCTACACTACAGTTGAACATTGTTAAAACTTCGTGAGTTTATTCATGATTAAAATAAATTTAACAGAGCAAAAAGACAGAACACTTTGAAAAGAACACGCACACCACTGAACTCAAGACTGATTTTTTACTTCAAATGCAAGGTATTTTTTATGATATGCATCCGAGCAACACAAAGATAACTTGATGAAAGAAGCAATGAAAAAAATTGGCCCTGTATCTGTATGTTACACTGCAAATGTCGTCGAAAGACAACAGTCTTGCATCTGGAGAGAGTGAACAAAACGTTTATTTGATGTTCTGCACAAGAAATCGGCGAATGATATTTTGGAGGCACTGGGTTAGAGTGCCTTGAGTGTGCAGCAGAGGCGAATGAGTGCATCAAGCCATGTCACACGTAAGACATGAGCGCTATCTGGCAGATATCCTGGAAAACAAAGAGCTTGGCCTGTCTGCCCGTCTTTGAGGTGATAAAGTGTTGAACGCAAGGCAACGGGTAGGTGCCCCACCGCATCCTCTTAGTAAAGCCTTGGAAAAACTTGGCTTTTCGTGCAAGCGTTGCATGGTCATCGCAGCGTAATAAATGCTACGGTCCTTAGAATTGCTTATGTATGCCTTTTCTAGTAAAAACACACATGTACAGAATATTGACATGTTGTTGTTGTGCCTCAAATATGTGCAATAATTTATGTTTAATTGACAATCGCAAAAGTATGAATGTTGAGTCTTGAGCAATATTGGTGGGTGCAGCGGATAGGGTTGGCCGTTTGAAGTATTGTTTGGCCACTTTGGTGCCGTTTTGGGTACCGTTAAGGGCAAATAGACAGACAGACAGACAGACAAACAAACAGACAGGCAGACAGACAGACCAAAATTTTTGCGTCGAAGGTCCCCAAGAAAGACTATCACCTTTAAAAACCTCGAGGCGACTGCTTGTCGAAAAAATGCATTCCATCAAAGGTAACAGCACAGTCAAAAATTCTTAAACCACGGAGTACGCCCTCGATATACGAAAGAAGTGAAAAGAATAGTTGATCCTTAAAACAACTGGCAAACATGTTAAAGCTACAGAAGCCAAGGTAGCAGCACAAAAAAAGAAATAAAAAAGATCTCAAATGTTAGAAAATAAAAAGAAATCAAAGAAATGTATAAAACCTGAAGCAAAAAACTGGTAAAAAGTAGCACTGTAGGTAGCCTACTTCCAATAAGTAAGTAAGCTACCTGCAGCTATCTGGGGGTTTTTAAGTATCACCATAGATAATTAAGCTTTGAGGCCTGTGACCCTGCTTTACATGGCTCATGATTGGATATTGGTGCAGCTTAAGTAGGCTATCCAGCACTTTTTGAGCATGGTCAGAATATGTGGCCGATTAGTAGGAGAGCTTCCTGAGTACAAGCGAGCCAAATATTATTGCGTAGCATGCGGTCTGTAATTCACATGAAATACTCAAACTCAACTAAAAAATGCTTTCTCTACATTCTGGACAAATGACGCTACAAGCTCAAATATCGCTCATTACAGGCATGGTATCAACCATTGACAAATTTGAGCATGGCACACTTGGCCGGTACTGGGGCACTTCAGGAGGTCGCAACTTGTCCACGCTTGTGTGCGCGATCGCACTGAAAAGTTGCGAATTCAAATAAATAAAAAGAAACACAGAAAAGCGCCAAAGGTCACGAGGTTCTCATGACGTACTTTATTTTCCCCTGCCATCCCTTTTTGCTTATGGCGTATTCGGTTGGCTGCTCTGGTCCTCTGGCTCAGAGTCGCCTGATGCAGAGGCACCTCACAATCAAAGTGCGAGAGGTAGAGTACCAACCAAATACATCGGCGATCTCAGAGCGCTTAGAGAGCATGCCTGTAGTGCCACCGTGCAGCCAGAGTGGGAAGCTGCCTGGTAAACATTGCTGCACCGCGTCAACTAATGGTGCCTATGAGTTCAGTGTACATCTCTGACATGTCTGGCCTTTAGTGTATTCTTTTTTTCTCTCTCTCTCTGGCATGTCTGGATGTAGCGAAAGCCTACTGAGCTCAGCACATAGATCTGGTGATCATCCTCGTCTGAGCTGCTATGTTCAAGGCAAATCATGAGGCTGTCTTTGAGCTGCTGTAATGACAGCATTGACGTATCTTCTACCTTCGCTAGCTGCCTAGTTACGGACATAGTACATTTATGGCTTCGCAGATGTGAATTCGCCACACACGCGCACAAAACCACCATTAACAACGCACGTACACAAAGTATCACGTGCCCGGTGATACCCCCTTTCTAAATGCACGCTCCTGCTCCTCATCTCGTTCATCTGCCAGCAGCCAGGTGATTGGTTGGCTTTTGTCACGTGATCCGTTCTCTCGTTCAGATCGCGCCATGCTCTCATTTCAAAGTCAGAGCGGTCGGGAGTACTCTGAGTCAAAGGCTGGCGCTCTGAAAGAACCAACTGAAGGTAGTCTAAGCACTCAAATTCTACCAACCGAAGGCACAGCTACTTTTCAGAGCACTCCAGAGCGCTCGAAAACACTAAACTGAATATGCCACTAGCTTCTAGCACATTCATCGGGACGAAAGAAGAGAAAATGCAATGTCAGCGAGAGACAAATGTTTGTAACTCGGATCATACTGAACAAATTGCAAAACTTCTTGCGATGGTGCATTTGTGAAGCGATAAGCTCCTTTAGTGAATCCATTTCACAGCTACTTGAAAAAGTGTTGCAGAGCCTCTTTAAAGGAGGAATTGAGCTTCTTGAACTTCTATGCAACATCCTTTCTTCATTTAACAGAATTGCCCAGCCTAGTTCAGATTTTTATTTACTTAATTTTTTGCCAATTCTAAATATGTAACTACTCTCAAAGTATGACAATTAATTTCATAGTTAACTAAAAATAATTTTTTATTGCTTGCAGGTACAGTAGAGCGAACACTACCTACCATGATCATGGCTTAGGCACATAGTTTCACAGCGTTACAGCGTTGCAACAAGCTTCACATTGCTAGCAATACATTTTTGATTAGACAGCCATTAACCACTGTACATCCTAGCTTTCTCTTTGGAAGCTGAATAATTGATTTTTTATTAATCAATAGACAATATAAAACAATAAAATTGAGGTACGAAAACCTCTATAATCGCCATCTCATTGTGCTCTGTGTGTACCAGTGTGCATGAATTCGCTATCATCACCCACATACTCCGTAATGCCCATAACAAGAAGATGCCCGTGCTTGATTTCAGGGATGTCTTTGTGTCGCTCACTGACGCTGCTGGCAAGCTCCTCAACAGTGTTGGTCAGAGCAGCCAGACTGCGGCCATCGATATTGCATTGACTCTGGACTACGCCCTGGACACTGTCCCTTTCAGTGCTGAAGCAGCCAGGGTGGTCTTGGCCATTTCTGCGAACGATTTCAATGTCAGTACCCTCTTTTAACATTAAGTGGAGTCCATTGGTGTGTGATTAGCATGCGTAATGTCATGCATACGAAAATAACTTTTCTCAGGGTATGCGCAATTATGCATGACAAAAAACTAATTTGAGCACAAACACACGACACAATCACACACACACCCAGCCATCAAACAAATCAGCATCAAACACACCTGGGTGTGTGTGTGATTGTGTTGTGTGTTTGCGCTCAAATTAATTTTTTCAAATGCTGTACCAACTAGCACAACAAGTTCTTTTACAATTATACATGAAGACATAAAAAAATGGTCACAATGATTTCGCCATAAAAAGTGCAATGTTTTGGCCTGTGTGTGTTTTCATCCCTTGCCCTGTCTGTGTTTCATCTGCAGCATTATTTGTGCTCGCATAAAAGCTTGCAAAAGTACATTATTTTGATGACGTAACTGAAAAATTCATGCATCTCTACAAAGTGAATCATGACGAGTGGGCAAAGCACTGTGGATTATTCTTTCCATGGCATTGCCCACTCGCACTTGTAAATGAGTGACAACATGTGTGTGCAGTATGTGTTTTTGCCATTTCCCGTGCCCTCAACTCCGGGGTAGCAGCTTGTTGTCGGCATTGCCGCTCTGCCGCTGCTTTTAGCCAGGAGAGCCACCTACGACTTTTAGCTCTCCTGGCTATTTTAATGATGGTATCAATAACAAAATTGGTGTGCCATAACATGACTGTATGACAAGCATAACTTACTAGTCATAACATGAAAATCATGACATGTCATAAATGTCATAATTTGCATTTCATGGTCTTGCTGCTCTTGCGGTAGTTTTGTACACATGACATATTGCAAAACTGGTATATGACACGACTGCATGGCAAACATAAGTGACAGATCCTAATGTGAAAATCATGACATACATGTCATGTAAATTATCACTACACGCCACGCTCATGGTGTGCTTGCGGTCATTTCACTAGCTTCCATATACCAAATTTGGTATTACAAGATATATGTATGATGAAGGTATATGTCTGGTGCAAACATAATAACAGTAGGATGCGTGTCATAATTTGGTATCACGTGATGTTAATAGATGGCGAAGATAAATGACATGCCAGAATATTATAATCATGACATGCATGTCATGTAAAACATGACTACATGCTACATTCATAGCACGCTCGCAACCATTTCACTAGCTCAACATTTACTGAATTTGGTATTATGCGACATGTGACAACAAAGGTAAATGACAGGTCCAAAAATGATAATCATGGCATGTGTGTCAGAAAAACATGACTACATGCTACGCTCATAGCATGCATGCGGCCGTTTCGCTAGCTCCACATATACCAAATTTGGTATCACGTGATGTGAATAGACAATAAAGATAAATGACACGTCGAAACATGATAACTACAACAAGGAAGTCATGGGCGGCATAATTTACGTCCACCTCGTAACGTGCTGGTTTTAAAGTGACGTGTTAACCTTCCTCATTCACCGATTCCCACTGTACGTAGGATCTGCCAATTTTTAACTGTAGAATTTTAACCTTCATTTTCTCATATAACAAAAATTTGCAGGGTACTTTATCGATAGAAATTTATTCGAAGCCTATTGTTATGTTTCTTTAAGTAAGCATGCTGAACTAAGCCTTTGATATAAATCAGCCACTGCTACCATGAAAGGAAGCTAAGCAGCCTGAAAAAAAAATTGTGGGTAGCTAGAACTAAATGACAAGCAACAGCAGAGTTGAGGGCAAGTCTCAGCAATGGAGTGCAAAGTAATGCTAAGCTAAGATATAGTGTGTGTGTGTGTGTGTGTGTGTGTGTGTGTGCGCGCGTGTGTGTGTGTGTGTGTGTGCGTGCGTGCGTGCGTGTGTGCGTGCGTGTGTGCCTGTGTGCGTGCGTGTGTGCGTGCGTGTGTGGGAGAGAGGTGGCCTGGCTGATGAATGGGAGAGGTGGCCTGGCTCATGCACCATGTTTATTCCATCTCACTTCTTCCTCAGCTTCTACCAATCATCAGTCACTGCCTTCCTACGTCATATATATATATATATATATGAGACGGCGTCGAAGGCGGCAGACGGGGCCGTGCTGATCTCGCCACTTTATTCCACGCCTGAAGCGGAGCCGCGGTGGCTGTCCACGTCCGACGCGCCAGGTGCGTGAGCTCGTTCTAATCCTTGCGCAGCTCGAGCTAGCACCAGCTGCGCGAGAGGCGCGGCGCGGTGATTGAGAAATGATGATGGTGATGATGGCACTACATATATATATTGTGGGCAAAGCCGGCAATATATATATTTGGCGACAAAGCCCGCGCAAAAGCCGCAGGCTTTTGCGCCCTCTTTTTGCATTCTCATGTCCCGACATGACTCCCCTCCTCTGCGGTCTGTCGAGCTGGGAGAGCGGGGAGTGGCGTTTAACCCCACTCACCCGGTAGCGGAGGTCCACTGTGGTGCTGTGCGCAAAGTCTCTCGGGACGTTTGGCACGCGTCAGGAGTGAGAGAGAATTTCTCCGGGACGACATGGGGTAAGCACGCATTTCTTTTTTGTAAGCCAGCTCCCTTTGTTTGGGGCTCGTTCAGACTTCGCCAATGGCGCCTTGCGCCCGCGGCGAACGCTTACCTTTTGTTGCCCCTTCCGAACGCTAAGCCGAAGAGCGGTGCGGGGTCTTAGTGCGCGGTCAAACTACACCGATCTATACCTGTCAAAAGTCAATGCGAGCGCTCTGCACTCGCTCGAGCAACCGGGCCGTTTGTCACGGTGTCCCCGATGAATTACCTTTGCTCACAGAGATGTGCTCCCGGCACCCTGTGTAGTACTTCTCGCCCTGGGCATGGATAAGCCCGTTTGCTTTCCCGCTGCCCCTGTTGCAATGAGCTCTGTACTGGGTTTTGGTATTGCCGCAGGCAATGAAGTGTTACGACCTTGAGCAGTACTGTGTTCTCACCACGGCGATGGTTATCGCGTGCTCTGTGGCTCCCCAAGATCGGGCTCACGCTAGTGGCCATACTCTTTGGGATATGTGTACACTACACTAGTGCCCAACGTGAGGCCATACTGGCACCCAACGTGTACACTACACTGGTGCCCAACTGCTCTTAGAGAATCAGTTCGCCTGCACGATTCGGGCTCGTCACAACATGCCTGATTCGTGACATTTTGTCCACTGACCTTTTTAGGCGGATGCCGTGTTGCTCAAACAGGCCAATGCCTCTATCGACGAGCACCCTTCGGCACCCGTTCCTGTTGACACCCCCTTTTGTGGCGAACACACAACCAACGTGGTAGCTGGCGAGCTATCTAATGCCCTCTGTTGTCTACCAAGATGGCACGGCCGCTTGCGGTGCCTTCGCACATGCAAGCGTGGAGGGCGAAACAGTGGCAAAAAGGGGGAGTTGCCATGCAGACAAGCTTGGCTGCTATCCATCCAGGTAAGCGACGCACCTTGTAGCAGCCGAGCAGGGGAGCTTTCCGAAGACCACGGTGCCTAGAGCGACCCCGTGCCACTGTGCACACGGCTATTGCTGCGATCCTGACTCCCCCCTCTGGGAGAACTCCCCCTTTTAGTATGGGACTCCCAACTTTGGGAGAATGGGAATCGCTTTTGGCAGTTAAGAGCTACTGAAGGCTCAGCAGAGTTATCCGTTTCGAGTCTCGGAGAGATGGAGCGTCCTATATGCGGCCTGCTCTGTGACGGACACCGTGGACGACTGTCTCAAAGAGACGAAGGGCCGGATACGCTGCTTGCCCTGCAGCGGGCGCCAATAGGGGGCTAGAAACAGCGTGTGTCGCAGAGTTCCCAGCGGATTCATTTTGCTGCACTATGACAGGCTCCTGCTGAAGTATATAGCCACCGGCGAGAAGTCTGCAGATTCGTTTGAGCTGGCTTTGCCCAAAAATGTCTGAGAGCCTTACTGTTACAGTACTCTCATGACAAAATCGAGTCTGGTCACCTGAGTGGCTCAAAAGCTTTAGCAAACTGAGCAATGTTGTGACCTGGCCCGGCACAAAGCGTGACATTTATCGCTATTCGATGCCTGCCACGTCTGACAAACAATGGAACCGAGGGCTGGCAAGCCGCCTGGTCTTATTAACCGATTGTCAGTGAGCGTTCGTGGCGCATGCTTGCTGAAAGATCTTCCTTTTGGGAAAACTCAGCCATGCCCACATCGCAGACCTCAAACCCTTTGTCATAGTCTGACGAGCTCGCGCCAGCGTCCTGCGCCACTTCGTGCAAGCAACGGTGTACACCCGGAGCGGCGGACCGCATTCGAACCGCGCACCGGTCTAATCTGAGGAAGCAATCACCTTTGTGATTTCGCACCGAATGGCGGACTTCTTTGCAAACGAAGCCCCTCAGTTTACTGTCTAGCCTTAGTATGATTAGCTTCTTTACGGCAGTATGATTAGCTTCTTTACGGCCAGTTCTCGTAAAAAAGTCGACCCCGCCCAGTTTGCTGCCAGTGTATGTTTTAAGTGTTCATGTGTATTTTATGTTTCTATGTTTCTTTTGTTTAATATTAAGTGTTCATCTGTATTTTGGGTTTTATGCTTCTTTGCCAAGTATTGAGGGTTATTTTTGCTCTGTTTTACTTCTTCCTACGTGTTTATTTCGTCTACCGGCGAAAGGAGTTCTGACCTTGAACATTGTTGCTTATGTGTGGAGAAACGGACGAAGGACGTTTTGCACCTTTGCTCATGCAACCGTCGGCGGTGTGTGTGTGTAAGTGCGTGGCACTTCTGTGCGAAGCCCGGGAAAGTGCGCGTTGTGGTTTCATTTCATCGACGTGGACACTAGAGGTGCTTGGGGCCCTGACCTGCTGAAGTCAGACAGTGTAGCTGTGCCCTCCTCTCGGCCATCGTCAAGAATCCCTGCTGCCACTTCCACCTTGGCTCCTGCGCGAGGCCAGCTGACAGCAGCTATATGCTGCCTGCCAACACCAGGATACCTGGTAGCCGATTCAGGTTTGGCCTCTCTGATCCCCGTAAAGGCC